GTAATCTATGCTATGCACGATGACGCATCAGCGGTGCACCTGGGGTTCGCTAAAACGTACCACCACCTGCTGGCTCAATTACAGTGGCCTAACATGTGACACAATACGGAAAAGTATTGGCCAGTTGTGATAAATGCCAGCAATTCAAGTTACCAAGTAATGCCCCAGTTGGTCTCCTCCATGCTTTCACATACACCTCATCTCCTTTCGAAATGGTTGCAGTGGATCTTCTCGGTCCATTTCCACGGTCACCGAGCAAATGTTGGATTATACCACGCGACACGTTATGTGGAAACCAAAGCGCTACCAATAGCTGGCATTTATCACAACTGGTCACATACTTTTCTGCATAGCGTCGCATGGTAGGCCAGTAGAAATGAGCCAGCAGGTGGTTGTACGTTTTGGATGTATCGAGGTTCCTCCTCTCTTCTGTGATACTGTAACATGAACCACCTCAGATTATTCTGAGTGATCGTGGTCGTCAATTCGTAGTCGATGTTGTAAAAAAGCTCTTCCGTCACCGTGCTTGTCAGTTTCACCACTCGACCCCTTATCACCCGCAAACAAATAGTTCAGTCGAGCACACCAACAGAACATTTACCAACATGCTTTCGATGTACGTCGACTCCAGGCACAACAACTGAGTGACATCTTGCCATTTATCAACTACGCCTATAACACGGCAAAGCATGAAACCTCTGGCCATTCTATTTTCTTGTCAGACCACCCCGCCACTATTTTCACACCGTTCTGCCTGTTCGTGCTCACGAGAACTCTTCCATTGCCCAGACTCTATGCCGCGCAAAGGAAGCATGTCGCTTAGCTCAGCTCCATACATTGGCAACCCAAGACCACTCCAAATTCCCCTATGATTTACGGCACAAGAATGTGTTGTACGATAAAGGAGAAAAAGTATGGCTGTGGACACTTTTTCGCAACCGCAGCCTGTACCAGAAGTCCTGCCTCGTTACACCCGTGCCTTTTGCCATCGTGGATCGCCTAAGTGATGTGACATGTTCAATCGCTCGTATCGTATCTCGCGGCTACCGTTCTGGGCAGACGCGGCTTGTTCACGTCGCCCGCCTAAAGCTCTTTTAGCCTCGTTACTCTTGACAAACATGATAATTGTACAGGAGACCTTCGTCTGGGAAAGGAGTGTTACACTGAAGCGGCAACGTGTGCATGAAGGAGGGAAAGAGCGAAGTGGTCTGTCTTGGAAGCAGCTCGGTGTCAGTGCGGCTACCCTTCGCTATTCATTCTTGAATAAACGCGTCGCATCGTAACAATATGCTCTGGCGGTGCCCCATGTTACGCTGTGAAAAAGTCATCACGTTGTCCAAATGGGAGGGTAATATAACAAGCTCCGGACTAGAATAACAGTTACCGGCAGTCCCCCGAGCCCGCGGCGCAGCCGAGAGACTGGCCTATTTGTTCCGACGGGGGAGCAGACCGCAACGTGCTAGAGAGCGTTCCGGAGGACCAAATGAAGTCCATCCATCCATCCATCCATCCATTCATCCATCCATTCATCCATCCATTCAACCGTCTGTCTGTACGTCCGTCCGTCCGTCCGTCCATCCATCTATTCATCCATCTATCCAACCGTCTGTCCGTCCGTCCGTCCGTCCGTCCGTCCGTCCGTCCATCCATCCATCCATCTATCCTTCCATCTATCTGTTTATTTGTTTATCTATCTATCTATCTATCTATCTATCTATCTATCTATCTATCTATCTATCTATCTATCTATCTATCTATCTATCTATCTATCTATCTATCTATCTATCTATCTGTCTATCTATCTGTCTGTCTGTCTGTCTGTCTGTCTGTCTGTCTGTCTGTCTGTCTGTCTGTCTGTCTGTCTGTCTGTCTGTCTGTCTGTCTGTCTGTCTTATCTATCTATCTATCTATCTATCTATCTATCTATCTATCTATCTATCTATCTATCTATCTATCTATCTATCTATCTATCTATCTTTCTATCTATCTATCTATCTATCTATCTATCTATCTATGAATTTATAGATCTATTTTTCTATCTATTTATTTATTCATTCATTCATTCAGTCTGACAAACTGCAGTTGTTACAGAAAATGATGGGGTAAGTACAACGCGTTGTCGATTTCTAGGTGTATATAGCGATTGCTGTGTGATTTCTTTCACTGCTGCTAGATGTCTTATCAAAAACAGTGGTTTCGTATGAATGTACAGTGCTTTACACGGCAAAAAAAAAAACTTAGCTGATTTAGTCTTAGGAAATGCAATTGGCTGCTTCTGCGCGTGTCGAACAGATAGTGAAAAATCCTCGCCACTACTGAAGTATTTTTTAGCTTCCGGTCGTTTTATAAGATGGAGTCCTTGGTTTGTAGCACGCAAATTTGACAATTATCGGACAATTTGTATGAAGGGAATGACTACCAAGGCAGAGCTCTTTTGAAATCACGAGATTTTACGGTTATTGTTGGATTATTATAGCAGAAATTGGTGATTCGTTTTTTGGAGTCGCTCTATGTTTCGGTGTCGGTAGAGTTAGGGATGCCGTATTGAAGATCGGGTTATTTTTTCGATATGTGTTTTGTACGTCATCTGTCGGTTCTCTATTTCTTTGATCTTGCGGGACATCCTACCTGCGTCTGTCCGCATCTTTTCCATGTCGTTTCGGATAGAAATAAGTGCCTGGTAGTGGGCATCTGTATTCGGGTACAAATTTAGAAGACAGGAGGTCCCCGCCGAGATGACCGAAGCGCAGCAGCCATTTCGCCCCGTGACTAAGTAGTCCTTCTGAAAAAATTAACTGCTATTAAAACGCGTGTTAATTGGTACAAATAAAATTTTTGTATTGTGACGAATGCTTTGGCAAAACTGGAATGATGTTAATGCTACAGCACATGCCGGATTGCACATGCCGTTAAGCAACGTCCCTAACACATTATAGTTCGATTTTATAAGTGGCATAGAAACGCATTTTAATGCTGGCATATCGGAATCTGAAACACTATTCTTCGCTTATTATTGTTGGCGAGCTCAAAATGCTCATTCGGGCAGCTATACGCTCAGCTATCTTATCACACTGCTGCCAATGATCAGTCGCTTGCGCGCTGAGCTGGAAACTACGAAGGCAGCATGTTCTCCGTCGACAGGGTCACCGGCTATCCGGCTCATGACGTCACCTGAAGTGCGCACCTATTTCGGTAGAAGACTAGTGTACATCCGCCTATGAGGGGAAAATGCCGCTGCCCTCTAAAGTTGCTCTCGACTATAGGTCAGTCATTCACTCGCAAAATTCATTAATGCTTCATCAGTGATGTTGAGCGGAAATTGAAGGCTGCGTAATTCAGCGACGACGTTAAACTGGCCTGTGGTGACTTTGTGAATTTCTGTCAGCACGGCATCATTTACGTAAGGGCCTGGGTTAATTTCAACATTTGCTGATATCGTGAGCAAAGAATGCGTAACGGAAACACACTGGGCAGCAATGGCGGTGCAGCACTGTGTGCTGCGGAACAGCATCATGACTTATTTGCTAGATTTATTTCTCAAACATCAGGTACTATTAACCTGCATCGCAAAGATTAGCGGGTTAGATTACTGCAATAAGATGCAGTGACAGAACCCACGGGGCGGTGTTGGGTGCTATTTTATATTAGTTGAGGGTGCACGTTAAAGAACCCCAGGTGGTCGAAATTTCCGGAGCCCTCCACTACGGCGTCTCTCATAATCATGAAGTGGTTTTGGGACGTTAAACCCCACATATCAATCAATTTATATTAGTTGAGGCAGCATCACGGTATATGCAACCTTTATGTAGCACAGTAGCGCACTCTTTTTCCGACGTCGCTAGCAACCATGCACTGCGGAAAAGCTGGTGCACAAGCTGCACTGCCGAAAATGGCGGCCGTCCCCCTGGAATTTATCAAGTGACCGTCATGTGCTCTGTAGATCGCTAGCTACAATCTGTTGCTTTTAGTTGGTTTAGATTAATGTCCTCAAGCTTCGACAGCAAAGTATTTGTGTAGATTCGGCACCCTGTTTGAAAAACATACTAAAGATAACCAATGTTGTAGGCTTTGTAGGCTGCTCCTTGAATCTTGGAGGACCTACTATATTTTGTGCTTGTGAGTTGTTGCTTATCATCCATAGGCTGGCACCACTTGACCATGCAGCAGCGGCGGTGCATGTTAATCGGCACTACGCCACGCCTTTGCGCTTTGCGTTACCTAACACACACTAAAAAAAGAGCTTTTAACTCCCATGGCACAGACCCCAAAGCAGGCGTTTCTTATTTCTTCGGCCGGTCGTTGAAATGCCAGGTGCGTCGACTGGCGATCGGTGACACGTTTCTTCGATCGGTGACAGCCCTATGCAAGTCGCCTGCAAGAACACAGCTCGGCTATGCCGCTGAAACTAATGGTTCCCAACCATGGCGAGATAGCAGACCTATGTGGTATACTCTGCTCCCGTAGAGAGCATATACGGTGGCTCTACGGTGAAGCTGTTGACTTCGATGTTGATATGGCTGCTCCGCTGACGCTTTAGATTTCACTAGCCACTGCTGCCTTGCTGGTATGGTCGGTCCGAGCTGACTGATCGTGGGTGACAGGTGGTACCATCCTGGCGCCGCTGCGCAGGATGACATTGCGCACTCTGGTGATGCACCGGCAAAGATTCGCGCCGAGTTCAGGAGTAGCAGGCTGGTGATCATACGGAAAATCATGGCTGCGTTGAAGTGCAGTCCCAGAGCCCACCTAGTGACCAGTCGCTGTTGTGGACCAAAGGGTACATAGCAAGTGACGCATTTTAGAAAGTCGAAATCACTTGACTGAGCGTTTCTTTCTATATGAATATGAACGTTTCTTTCTAACGTATGGAAGCGCAATACTAAAACAACCTCCACGGGATTGCTTGTATTTCACGTAGAGGTGCAAGTAGTCAATTATTCCTGCCTCTTGCATTCATATTATAAGAAAAGTATATATGTGTCGCCAATTTTATATTCCAGGTTTTCAGCCGGCTCAGAGAAGAAAATCCATCTGCACTCAGCAAGGTGGTGTCTGTGACCGGAGACATCTTGGAGCCCGGATTAGGCCTCTCCGAGGAGGATATCGCTGAGCTCGTCGAGAACGTCTCCATTGTTTACCACTCGGCGGCGTCCGTGCGTTTTGATGAGCCACTTCGGTGAGCATAGCATGCTTGCACAACGTTTCAGTTGTGGTGCTGCTGGTTCGCAGTAGCTTCCGGGATTTAGTTGAACAATGATCACTGCATTCGGGTTAGTCAGAGATGACCATATACCTAGCATAATGAATGTTTACTAGACGTTACTGAGTTTGTGTCTCACATGCGACACAGATTCGTCTGGTTCTTTCGAACAGAACAGGGCACGGAGGTTGCTTCGGAACTCACCAACAGCCGAAAACTTTACAGCTTTAAGAAAATAAAGTCTCAAGGCAAGAGAAGGCCAGAAGAGAAAGCTAGCACGAGGTTTTATTAGGGATCATTTCAATTACAGAAGGAGCTAAAGTCTGGAACATGGTCGGTAGAGTAGCAGGAAGGCAAGTACACTCATTCCCACTCGTAAACACAGGGTGACAGCCTGAAAATCAGGTGAACTTCCTCGGCGCACACTACGAGCAGGTGTCTAGCTCTTCGCACTATGCTGAAGCTTTCCAAAGATGTAAAGCAACAATAAAAAAGCAGGAACTTGAAAAAGTGGGTACAACATACGAGGCATACAACCAACCTTTCAACTTATACCCCTGTCACACGGGCACTTAAATGTCTTTTAAGTAAGCGGTCTTTTTCCGAAAAGGAGTTCCTGACAGCACACACACGGCACAGAGCGAACTCCTTTTCAGAAGCGGTCTTTTTCGTAAGCGGTGTTCGTCGATCTCTTTTACGGCTCCGAATGAGTAGCCTCGAAATCAGTGGGTGCCAGCAATTTTCGAGTGGTGGGAAAAAAAGAGCGAATGCTTATTTTTCTGTCACCAAAACTCTTTGTAGAAACAAATTTAATATCCTGCAGAAGGTGTAATGAACTCTTTTAATGGTTATTTCCTTTTCTACTCTCGTAAGCAGCTATAAGGCGTCGGCAATATAACGTGGTGACGCTCGGTCTCGCGCCGCGCCATTCTGCACAAGTGAGGAAAGCGTGGCAGTCGTGTGTTTGCCCGTCATTCATGTGGTCCGAGTTCGAGCGTCTATGGCCAACTCCGCAGATCAAGCAGCCGGCGCCCCACGGAAAAGGTAGCGCCTGCAATGGTTGAAAGCAGACACGTTATCCTTTCCTTGGCGGCTTTTGCAGCGTCTGCCTCGCTTTCCAGGGCGACAAGGCAGGCCGTGAGGCTTGCGATCCTCGCTTTTCTCCCGTACGGTCACCCATAACGTGTCGAGAGCAGTCGAGAGCAGCGAAAACCAAATACGGTAAATAAAAGCCCAGTGGTGCCAGACGGACTTGTGCACGTCGCTAGTTATGGGAATGCTTCCTTAACTAGTGCAACAAACTTTCCAATGGTGTTTCTTCATCTCTTATTCTTAAATTTATTTGAAGAAACGAGCAGTGCAACAAGTCTTTAATTTGTACATCGTGATACATCGTTTAATTTGCATTGGATCTCTTTTAACTGCTAGCGCCACGCTTTCGCTAGCGTCTTCGAACGAAAACACTAAAAGGAGATCGTTGCTGCCGTGTGTCTGCGCCGCAAACACCTCTTTGTTTAAAGTCTTTCAACTTCGTAAAAGACCGCTTACTTGAAAGACTTTTTGCGCGCCCGTGTGACACAGGTATTACCTCGGCTACAAACACCACTAAACTCCTGTAGTGATTCTGCCCCATGCTCTGACCGTGTCATGTATAAAATGTTGACAACCTGCTGCTTGAAACGCAAGTAACCTTGCTTTTCCTTTGAAATGCTATCTGGCTTTCTGGTACCATATCTACATCATCGAAACAGGCTATTGTCATTCCTATTTTGAAACAGGGCAAGAACGCTTCCTCAGTTTTGAGTTATAGACCCATCGCACTAACAAGCTGCTTTTGTAAACTTTTTGAAAGTATAATAAACTGCCGGCTTTTACATTTCCTTGAAACACACAATCTTCTCGACCAATTCTAGTGTGGGTTTCGAGAGGGTAGATCTACCACCGACCATCTGGTGCGTATTGACGCAGAGATCCGAGACGCTTTTGTCCATAAACAATACTTCCTTTTTGTGTTCATCGATATCCAGAACGCTCACGATGCAACATAGCGCTTTGACATATCGAGAGACATGTCTCACCTGGGTGTGCGCGGTCGAATGCTTTTCATATTCAAAAGGTACTTGGCCAATCAGACATTCTGTGCCCGTGTGGGCAGTGTTCTCTTTCGAACATTTGTCCAAGAAATGGGAGTACCGCAAAGTGGTGTTTTTAGTTGTACACTTTTTATTATCAAAATGTATTCCCTGCACCTGTCCATTCCCCTCAATATGTTTATTGTACATATGTCGACGAGGTCGAGTTTGGCTTTAAGTCATGCAACCTGGTAATGTGTGAGTGGCAGGTTTAGCTAGGTTTAAACAAGGTCTACAAATAGGCAGAGTTAAATGGATTCCGCCTGAATCCACAAAAAAATCACGTGTGTCTTCTTCTCTTGAAAGAGACGCATGCACTCAGAACCTGACATTCAATTGAATGGTCAACGTCTGTCTGTTAATGCCGAGCATAAATTCTTAGGCCTAATCTTGAATAACAAGGTAACACTCATACCGCACATCAAGTATTTAAAACAAAATGCGTAAAAACATGTTCTAAAACTGCTGTCACCTCCTACATGGGTTAGTGACAGGCCATGTTTCATGAATTTGTATATAAGCCTCACTCACACCTGCATAAAATATGGGGCCATTTATAAATCAGCGACTCAGTGTTCAGAAGATGTTGGTCCCTGTGAACGATTTGGGCATTAGCCTTTCTACGGGTGCTTTTTGCACCAGTCCTGTGGAAAGCCTGTTTGTGGAATCGAATGAGTGGTCACTCCATTTACAGAGATGGTACATAATGATAGAAAGTATCAATGTAAAATTTACCGCTGATATTGTCGAATTATTACTTCGTTTGTGTGCCTCCAAGTTCCGACACTCAACTGCGTATCATCCGCAAACTAACGGTCTCACCGAGCGCACAAACCGAACGTTGATCAACATGTCAATGTACGTCGCCTCTGACCACAAAAACTGTGATGAAGTATTACCATTCGTCACGTACGCCTTCAACACGTCGAAAGACGAAACGACAGGCTACAGCCCTTTCTATCTGCTCTACGCTCGCTCACCTCGACATACGCTAGACACTATCTTTCCTTTTGTCATCCATGATGATTTAACAATTGCGGAAACCTTGTGTCGTGCGGAAGAGACCCGTCGACTTGCCTGCTTACTTACACTGGCAGCGCAAGAGTCATCCAAAACTCGCTACGACAGTCAACACAGGCATGTAACCTATTCCCCCGGTGATTTAGTGTGGGTGTGGACCCCAATACGCAGACGTGGCTTGGGCCAAAAGCTACTGGCACACTATGCCGGTCCTTTTGTGATACTCTGTCGTGTCAGCGAGGTCAACTATGAAATTGCACGTGTCACCACTAGTGGCCGACGTTCATGCAAGACGGAGGTGACGCATGTTGCCCGCCTGAAGCCGTTTACACGAAGGATGCAAGAATGACTCGCCCAGAGGGCTTCGTCTGAGAGAGGAGGAATGATAAAAAGTACCACTACCAGGAAAAACAAGGGAAGCGTGGGCAGAGAAGGAAGACGACGTTGCCTCCACTGCGATCCCGCTGAGTGGGTACGAGCCATGGCGGTGGAGATCATCATCATTATACTGTGATCGGGGACTCAGGGCCCATTAAACCCCCCCCCCCCCATTAAGTTACCTTAATTTGTGTAACAATTTATTTTTCGTACTGCCTGAAGATGAACGGATACAAAGAACACCCCTTTCATTTCGCAATCAATGATGGTTCTTATTCTGCCGTGTTCCACAGCCGTCTTTTGTTGAGGCAGCCCTACTCACTTTGTGTGAAAGGCCTCGCTGAGGAAACATTTGTGCCACTTCTAGAACACTTTGATGACTCCTGCTGCATATCTGCCTCCATGGCAGTGGCATCTTATAGACTGTGGCATATCTTTTGTGGAAGTCACAAAGCATGCGCCTGTTGCCCACATCCACACATACTTTCACGAACACTAGCACGAATACAGTTGTCCCGAATTCTACACCAATGCCTCAAAGACGAACACTTCTGTCTCATACGCTGTGGTCGATCCATCCTTTTCAGATGCCGGTACTCTTCATCCTAACATAAGCGTCTTTACTGCAGAAGCTCATGTGATACGTGTGGCTGTTAAACACGTTAAACAAAGAAAACTACAAATTGCAGTAATATACAGATTTCCTAAGCGCGGTAAAAGCCCTTAAATTGCTGAAAACAACACAAATTCTGTCCTTGTATCTATCTACTCACTCCTATGCACAGTATACTCACTCTAACAGCATGTCGTAGTGTGCTGGGTGCCAGAACACCACGAGATATAAGGAAACGAATTGGCAGACCAGTTGGCTTCATCCGCCAAGCCAACTGACGCCAATATAACAATATTTGCACTCGACCTGAAACTTCTCCTCAAACGAAACCTTATATCTGTTTGACAGCGCACATTGGATTTGCACACACGAAATAAACTGCATGTTATAAATCCGCAACTTGGTCAGTGGCTGCCAGTATTTAAGTCGCACCACACACGTCTTTACTTTTTGTCTGGTGACGATCCATCATTGCGTGCGAGATGTGGTGAAGCACAAACTGTGCTTTACATTTTCATTAAATGTAAGGAACTGACACCCTTGAAAACAATTATTTGCATTACCCTAGCGACAAGAAGTACCGCTCCACGCCACAAAGTTTATCGGTAAACAACCACTTCTCAAACTCCAGTCATTGCTGCTATTTTTAAAACAGGTGCAATATTTTCACGCTTTTTATCCAGGGACTCCGTAGCACGACCTCTGAAAAGAGGTCATTGCTGTGGTTATTACAAAAAACACAGCATATGCCTCTCGACTTTGTATACAAGGGCATTCAAGAGGCATTGGTGCTGATGCCGAACTTCAAAATAATGTTATTATCACGATTCTTC